TATACTGTTACATTAATGTAAAAACAGAAAACATAAAATCGTCATAATTAGTTTAAATCAATTTGTTCGGATGCTGTTTGGACATTTTCTTACTTGAATTTTTTTAGTGTGGACAATTTTATGGTAAAATGTGTGTTTGTTTTTGCAACTCGGGCGAAGAAAAAAATATTATAATTGCTCCCTTTCTCTGAGACTGAGCCATAAAACCACTGAAAACACATCATGCCATTAACGATGATAGGCTTTTGACGTACTGCATTTACTTAAACGTGCATTAAAGACACTGAACATTCACGCCCTAACAGCCCGTTGGTCTGTGTTTGTCTGTGTCAGCTGCATCCAGAAGCAGAAGATAAAGTGCTTCTGTGAGAACCAATGGTAACGGGGGACATGAAAGTGAACTGTCTTTGCAAATTGCGACATATTTATGAAAAGGTTGACACAACTGCAATCAGTTAGTTCCACAGCTAATGTAGCTAGTCTTAAAAAAGGCTCAGAAATCAGAAAACGTATGTGGCTCGCACAGTGCAGTTGTAATGGTTTTATACTTTTATTTAAGCAGCCCCCTGGTTAAATGCTGTCTGGAGACAGTATGTGTAATTTAATAACACCACTTAAAAGTGTAAGTGGATCCAGGAGGTGGGTGTGCAAAATAAAGACGAACAGTGGCAGTTTCTAGGACCCAAACATTAGTAGTTTTGACTTTCTAACATATTTAAAAACAGGTAAAATTTGAAAAGTTATTCAACTGAACCTTCATAACTGTCAGTCAGTGACCCTGGGTCAGGAAGTTAACCACAAATATTCCTACCACATTTTTTCATTATTCAGGCTTCTCTTTGAATAGTGACATTTATCAGGGAGGGGAAAAAAAACTGTTATATTGTGGAAAAAATGATTTGGAATCAGCATGGGGAAATACAGGAAAGTCCTTTGTTGGTGTAGAAGTGAATTTATATGCATGGTTTTGTCCTGAACTTCCAAACCGCCCTGAATGTAGCCTATCCAATGTCATCTGGGATTAACTGCAGCTCCCCTCTAACCCTCAACCAGATAACAGTGGAGGATAGATTGTCACGACGATTATGTTCATAATCACGATTATAATAGTGATTATGATTACGATCATAATGGTGATTATGATTGTGATGGAGCAGTAGCAGTGGTCATAGCGGTGGAATGTTATTATTGTCTTCATTATCATTATCCCCTGCTCTTGTTTTTACAGCACTTTGAATTCTGGACTGCCATGGAGTGTTACGTCAACACTATTAATGGTTTCAGGAATCATTAGTATCATGTAATCCTTCGCTGTCGCTGTGTTATACGCAACCCTAATAAAAAACAGTGTAGGATCCCAAACATGTGGACCTAATATTTTCTTCACATAAAACTAGCGGTACTCTTTAAAAACCTTATGCATGTATATAAAGGTAAGCAGGCCGATAGGTCTCTCCTGATAGCCATAAAACGGAAGTGTAAATGGGGTTACATGGAAATGGGATGCTATCTCTATAATGGAAAGTACATGCTCTGACAGTCTGCTTGTGCCTAGAAAAACCAACTGTACATATTCTCTGAGAGATAGCATCGAAAAGAAAGTCGATTGATGGAAAAGGCGAAGGATGACAGGCCTTTACACACACTACTAATGGCAAATTAAATTCCTTCTCAGGAAGAATGTTTGGCAGAGCAAGTGCTGCCTCTTCACTCTGAGAGGTAAAATGCATCCCTTGTTGGAGAATGAATCATGATGTGGAGAGGCAGGCTTTTTTTGATGACATCAAATGACACTGGAAGGTCAGTGGCACTTGTATCTGTTAAATGGATTGGATTAAGTGGAGGCTCTTCGTCTTCGTCTCCTGCTTCCTTTCATAATGTAGATTTTCTTCCGGTGGCGGGAATGGGAGGCACACACTGTTCTACACCACAGTTTCCCAGGGAGCGATGAGTGGTGACAGGTGCAAGAAAATGTCTTGTGGCATTAAGGGAATTGAAAAGACATTAAGTTTACACACTGTTTTTTTTTTTTTTTTCTGTCTCTGCTCTTTGTTTAGCAGAGTTGAACCAGCACTTGCTACAGTACTATTAAAGCTGCATTTCAGTGTAACACATTAAACTAAGACCTGCTTCCTGCTCTGGCCTTAAAAAGCAGATATTGAGGATTTTTACATGAAAAACTTAACTTAATTTTCCAGCCTGATCTAATTTGCCACCTAGACCACAACATTTTTTTAGCTGCGAATCACAAAAAAGAAATACTTCTCCACAGTGCTTCAGTTTTCCAGTTTACTATACAAAATTGGGTTTTTCTTAGACATTTTCTATTGACCACAGATCTAGACTCTAGACTGTAAGTCTGTAGAAAACAATAGTTGCAGTGTATCCTAAAGCAGTCTATGCCTTTGTCAGGTGTTGTACTGCACATTCAGCAGCAGTTTCCAACCATCCTTTCTTGCCACTCATTTGGAGTAAAATCACTTAAACTTTTTTTCCCCCCTGTTAAATGAAGGCTTGCGTAAATAACCACAGGAAGTGCTTTCTTGAAAAGCTCTTTGTATATATTTTTTTAACCAATTAGAGCATGTGGCGTAGAACAGGGGTGAGCAACCGAAAGGAATTCCCCCACAGCCTTGACCTTTTTAGACGTGATGTAAAACACACATGTGATATGTTTGAGGAGTGTGTGGCAGATGGTGGTCTCAACCAATTAGGAGAAGTTCTCTGGAGGTGGAGGAACGACCTTTTTGTATAATTAGTTCTCTTATTTAAAGCAAAGATTTTGAGTAGAATAACTAATTAGATGTCATAAAAGGCAAATTAAAGATTTTTGTGATCTCGGGGGGAATTACAGCAACTCCTTTCTTCTTCTTTGCCTGAGTCCTGGAACTCACATTCACACACGTGTACACAGATCCACACACAGGCATTTTCGTTCCCTTTCTCCTCATTAAGACTGTTTTAGTTCTGTAGAAACCTGTCAGCCAGCCTCTGTTGGCATACCTGCAGAGAGCTCCCCTAACAAGCCATGAAATGCAGGTAGAGGAATCCGCCCTTATCTGCAGCAGCTCGAATTTGAAGCTTTTTAGCTTCATTTACACAGAACATTGGTATTTATAGCAGCTGTTGTGATCCTAATGTGCCAGCTTCAAGGGCCCTGTTTTGAGAGGGAGAGAGGTGAGGGAGCTGGAGGGCAGGCAGAACACTAATTGATGGCTCCCATCACCAGCCCTGGACCAATTAGCCTCTCTTTTCCACGTCTGATAAAGAAATAAGATGGCTCACCACCGGCGGAGCACTTACTGACATATAAACCAAAGCCATAAATTTGACTAACAAGCTCTCCTACTCCTTTTAGCTCTTTTTTAAAAGGGAGGATGATAATTATATGACATTCATCGCATTAGTGATGTGTGGACGGTCAATAACGACAGAACAAATCTGGATCCGGACTTTGTAAGTCCATTTAGTTGTGTGTGTGTGTGTGTGAGAGAGAGAGCGAGAGGCAGGGGGAGAGAGATGGGGTTTTTTTCTATTCCAAAGCAGTTCTTTGAAATGCGCTTTAAGGTTTTTTGCGAAGGTGTACAAACCTGACAGGCTCAGCCGAGAAGAACAGCCCGCGACTGAAGCAGTCCCTCGTTATCAGCCGAGGTTGTGTTTATCACCGAAGTTACACTAAAAACAGGAGATCCCTCTGCACAGTGACCCCGTTCACACTCGCACTGTCGCTTTGGCGCTAAGTGCAAAAGAAATGAAAATCAGAAAGAAACTTTCTTTTGTTTGAATAAAAACGTACCAGCACGCACTTCGAAAGTGCAACAGCCAAACTGTGACATTTTGTATAAAACTGTGTGTTAATGGGCTTTTGTAGATACGCACTTACAAAAAAAAAAAAAAAAAACGTCGGCTTCACCTCCTACCACGCAGTGTCCAGTCTTTTTTTTAGCCAGAGAGAGAAATGTGTTTTGAAAGTAGAGTGGCAAGTGGCGTCCACTGTGTGTTCTTTTAGACGGATCAATAGCTCAGTGTGTGAGAGAGTGTCTTAAGAGCTGTTGTCTTGTGCTTTCAGCTGTGGCAGACCTGTTAGTGCTGCAGAGGGGAGCAGAGCACCCCTGCCTCTGTACCAGCAGTGGCCTGAGGGGGGCTTTTAGTCCAAACACAAATGTCAACCACACATAGACTATTAGTGTTTAGTGCAGTTATTAAATGGACTTTATTTGTCCTTTAGGAGGCTAAAAGGCGCACTTAAAGGGGACCTACGTGACAGCAGGGCAATTTGCGAGTTTGGTAACTTAGGCTCGCTCGTTGCAGACACATGAGTACAGATAAGTGTAAGAGGAGGAGAGGCTGTAATGCTCTGAGCAGGCAACACTTTGTGTGTGTGTGTGTGTGTTTGTGGTTTGGAGGTGGGCATATCTGAGTGTGTGCGTGCGCCGCTGAGTGTGTGTCCCCGTGTGTGTCTATGAAAGGCAGCGAGTGAGTGTATGCTAAAAGGCACTTAGGCCATAACATATCTCACTGGGGCCTGGTAGCAGCGTTTTTGTGGTCGGAGGCATTTTAAAAGGTTAATGTTAATCTATACCAAACAAAGCCCATGAGGAGCTTTTACAGCTGCGGACAGATCTGTGAAATGGGCTTTGATGAAATGGTAGATTGGTAACGTACAAGGCAGTTCAATGTAAATACCACAGAAAGCAGGACGGCGTCCTCCATGGCCTCCCCGCTGTCAGGCCTGCTGTAAGTGATCGTGTTAGTTCGGTGTTGCAGTGTGTACTCTTGTGAATGACAAAGGTAGGCTTTTGTCGACCAATGTGACCCGTGTCACATTGGTCAGCATGGAATGTTGTCTGTAATGCATATGAAGAAGGTCACGCGTGGTAGTAGCGCGGCCCAGGCTCCGACGCCACAGAAAAGTGACCATCTTATCAAAAGAGAACATGAAAAGTCACTCGTGTTCCGTGCGCCGTAAATCACGTCTCTTTGTGCCCTTATCACTACAGGTGTGCCGATGCTCTCCGTCCAGCCCAAAGGGAAACAGAAGGGGTGTGCCGGCTGCAATCGAAAGATTAAAGACCGCTACCTGCTCAAGGCCCTGGACAAATACTGGCACGAGGACTGTCTCAAATGTGCCTGCTGCGACTGCCGTCTGGGGGAGGTGGGCTCCACCCTGTACACGAAAGCCAACCTCATCCTCTGTCGCAGGGACTACCTGAGGTAAGAGGACACACAGACACCTGTGTCCACCCAGCATCAGAACCATGACATCATCAGAGCTGCAGCACGAAAGAGGTCACAACAAAGGATGTCTCACTGATTTCTTAAAATCATAAATCCAAGTCAATTTAAATGCAAAATTCGTCACTGTTGTCGGTGTAAATCCCAACGTGTGGCGTGATCATATTCTTTTATAGCAACCATATTTTTTTTATAGCGTACATATTTTTTTACAGCATGCATATTGTTTTATAGCTTGCATATAGACGAGGCTAAATTTTCAAATGATTAAAAAAAACCCAACAAGTTGCAAAAGAAGCACATTCCATTGCATCTACTCGTTTATAAATCATTTATTAAATTATATTAAATTATAACATCATTGAACAGAAATCATTTTATTCCCACATGTTTACTGTTTTGATCTTAAGTTGCTTAATCAATAACTTTTTCTCTCTTTGAATCAATCTAGGTGCATATTTAAATAAAAACTGTTTCATGTGAACTGTCAATTATGAATCAATATATATATATTTGGTTTGTATAGTTACTCCTTAATTATCAAAAAATAATATTATAGAAATACTAAAGATAGCTAATGTCTACAGAGGCTAGGTGACTAAGCTGTGGTTGATGACCTCATTTCCAGCACAGGTCAATTTAAAAGTTTACTTTGACATTGTTTATTTCTCACATTTCATTATCTATTTCATATTAATGTTCATATGAGGTCATTAAACTCTTGTCATTGAGGGAAATTCTAGTGCTGCGGTGTCTCTGGCCCCGTGTCCTCACACAGTGCAGCCCCAGATGCCCCTGCCATCTGTTTGTTAAATTAAACATGACCATATCCTGGACATTAAATCACTTTCTCATTCAGGTCTTTGCATTTTTCTGAGCAAAAGTCTCTCGTGGACAACATGATCCGGTATATTCAAAATTCATTTATTTTTAATTTGAGTGAAAAGTGAGAGAGAATATTTATCCACTTAACTTAGATGGATTTCTTTGATTGATACCTTAAATGATCTTTTTTCTTTGTAGACGTTACTGTAGACCACAGCCACCTCAGCAGGTGTACATGGAGAAAGACAGTCACCATTCATTAGCTCTAGCCTCTGTACACTTTGTTTTCAAGGTTCAGTGTAAGTATAAATAAAATAAATAAATTCATAAATCCTGATGAGGTGACAATTAACGGACGCCTTAAGAATTAAGGAGAGTGAATATGATGCAGCTTGGAGTTGGACATGTTTCACACACTTAAGGAGAACAGTGACTCCCAACCCTGACTGTGTCTCCCTGCATAGTGTAGGGGAATATTAGACCAGTTTGATCTAAAGGTCAAAAAAGATGAGGAAAAAGAATAGTATGAAATGAACAAAAGTTTAAATTAAAAATCAAATTAAACTAAAGGAGAATTTATTTATTTATTTATTTTTACAACTCTCCATCCATCCCTATAACTTGCTGTTCAGTAAGTAACAAATTCACAACATTTTAACGGCGAAGAAAGATGCTTGAGTTGAATCCTGTTATGGTTCAGGTTAAAAAGCTTGCTCATGTATGTGCAGAGAAAAGAGCGTAAGGTAACGCAGTCTGTCTCCGTGTAATTCCCTCTCTTTTGTGTAGTTTTATCACCTGCAGTAATGAAGCTGACTGTGTGAGCAGACACAGCCCCGTGTGTTTCATTAAAGGAAAGCCTGTGGATCAAACACTTTCTGAGTATTTCCCAGGGTTTGGAGCCATGCCATGTTCATATTAATTAATATAAGAGATCCATCTGTAATTGTTATGGCAACCCAATTCTACACATACCTTGGCCAATGTACTGCGACGCCCTTCTAAATGAAACCGGTGTCTTTTTTTTTTTTCTTACGTGAAGGTCATTTGTATAGAGAGGTTTTTTTTTTTCCTCCAAACTCTTTGATTATAAATCGGAATAATAGATAATTGAACTCCTCCTTTATGTCTCAGTCTCAAGATCATACGACTTCAGCAGAGGGTTGACAATCTCAGCATAATGGTCTGATCATCAGGAGCCTGTAGCCTGAATTAATTTAATCCTCTGGTGTATTAGCCAGGACATAATAGTCATCCACTTATCAAAACAGGGTATAATTAATGACATTTTTTAGATGATGAAGATAATATGGGATCCACAAATGAGTTAAATACCTGGAGGAAGATGATAGCTTTATCTCAACTTCACCGTTTTTTACTGTCTCTTCTTTTCCTTACAGCACCACTTTAGGTAAAACTGATATAAAAACGGAGATTATTACTTTTGAAAAAAAATAACAAATATTTGTTAAGGTCCATAATAAATGATGCATGCGTTAACAACATTCAGGTTTTAATGAAACGTGACAAACAGGAATGTCTCGGATAAAAAATAAAAAAAAAACTTCAAGAGCCGCAGCATATTCAGAGAGTAAAGCTATGCAAAAGGAAAGATGATTCACTGAAGGAGATTTAAGGGTTTGAAGTTTTCCACAGCTGCCAGTTCAAAGACGTTCTTATTTCTAAATACCAGGTGTAATAATCCAATAACAGAGGAGGCAGCACCGGGCTTATTTGCACAGCTTCAGTTCAAATCTGCAGCCGAAAATCAACAACACCAACATCAAGCGATTTGTCCACAAAGTTATTTTCGCACCGAAATTCAATGAGGACAAAAGCACAAAGTGTTTTTACTAACTCAAAAGCAGAGAAACGTGTTTTTGTATTTGGTTACAGTTTAAGAGTATAATTTTCAGTACAACAAGGTACTGACAGTCAGGGATCAGTTTGTACTTGTTGTCTCGTGTACAACTGTCTGACCACTCTAACTGGATCAGTGTGAGTCAGTCCCACAGCAGTGAATATTAAAACTATGGTTAGTTGACCTGATAAAAGCAGGAGCAGAGAGAGTGTTTCAATTAGTCATTAACCAACAGAGAAAAACACAATTATTTGACAACAGTGTCTGCCAGTCTCTTATATAATATGAAACATCTTTTATTTTAGATTCTGACTTGACTATGTTCCAGGATTTCTCTGTCCACAATATTCAAGAATGTCATTATTCTAATTTGAGGTCTTTCAAAGAAACAAAGAGAGATTTTAACGGAATTGTCTTCTGTTACTATTGGCCACAAACATATCGGTCAGAGGGGTTATTTACAGTGTAACATGGACAACCAATGGTGAAGGAAAATGGAATTTAGAAGAAAAAAAAGCAATTAAATGTAATAGCTTTGTTTTTGAAATATAAATATGAGAGAGGAATCACTCAGTGGTACCGTTGACTGTGGTCTTGATATTCTTCCATTTTTTTTTAATTTACTTTTTCACATAGTGAACCATTATGTCCTTTCTCATAGATTTCTTTTGCTTTCCACCAATAATGTATACAAATGATGTGGAAAAATTAAAGTACTGCTCTTCTAACATGTGTTTTATGTCTGTGGGCAGAGTAGGCGGGCCTTGTTACACAAAATGAAATGGAAATTCGGTCATGATTTCATTGTCATCAGGGATGACGTATGAAATCAAAATTAATTGAATAGTCAAAATAATGTATTATATTTACAAGTAATATGCAGTACTTGTGTATATAGGTAAATACTGTATTATAAAGAAAAAAATAAATAAAAAAATTTAAAAACTAGAGTCGCACCAATCCAAAAAAACCCCAAATAAAGTTATTAATTAATTATTAATTAAAATATAGCCCATCGACAGAATTAGCCGGTGCCCTGCGCTGACACTAGCCTGTCAGGGGCCGATATGTAATAGTGACATCAGGAGTGTCATAGGAACCAAAGAAAAACTGTACAAAAAAGACCCAATCACAGCCTCAGATCATGGATGCTGAGATTAGGAACAGGTCAAATGTTTTCAGTCAGCGGCAGCTGGACTTTTCCAGTCAGGTCATGTAGCTCCTCTCCATCCTAACAGGAGACAGTGACCTGCTCTCAACTGTAACAGAAACTCTTATCAGGAGTGAACAGCAGATTCTGGTGAGATACGGGTTATTTACAGTCATCATCGGAGTTTCAGTTGTCGCCTAAAAATGCAGTAAATGAAGTATCAAATGAAGTACTACACTGTGAGTCTGTCAAAACGCAACAGCTCAACTTAAGTTCTCATTCAGCCCATCGTTTTTTGGGAGATGTCCTTTGTTCTACACCCTGAACCTCCTCATTAAAAGGGAACTCTTGACAATGTAGACACAGAATAAACAGCCCAGTCCTAACCTAACAGTTGGATTTCCTGTATGAAACCTTTCCTGGTGAATGTGGTCCTTTTAAGATCAGCACATGCCTCGCTGAAAGACTGTGAAAATCGCACGCTCTGTGCAAGTCATAGCGATGTGGGAAAGGTCTGTGTTTTTAAATTTAGCAGATTTAAAAATAAATAAATAAAGGAATGTATCGAGTGTTGAAAATCTCCCCCATTTTCAGATACTCTAGACGCAGATAAAAACATTCTGTTGAAGCACATGAGCCTCACTCATCTGCTGCAGGATCGGTTTTTACTTTGTTTCCCCCGGTGTTTGTTGTATTATTTACTGTAGTAACGAGTACGTGCGATGTTTGAGTACAGGTTTCAGAGTTGGCTGTTTCTCATCGCACCACCAGACATTAGAGAACATAGAAATGTCAGAAATAGAACAAATGTAAATGAGATGAAAGACTAGTTCTTTTTAACTCACAATTCTGAGGACGTGAAGATGAATCCACGTCACCCTGCACCTCTTCACTGCACACAATAACTTGTGCAGTAACATTAGTTAAATGTATATAAAGTTGTCAAATACTTGTGTCAGCTCTGATCTTTCACGAAGCGATTCAAAAATTTGAATAACGGCCAAGTCCTTTTCTGTCGTTCTAAGTGTTCCTCCATGTTTGATGAGGGTTATGTGTGAGCTGCTCATCAAAAATCAACGTATTTATGTAAAGCCTCTCTCTTCTTGTACTAACGGGTCCACCTGACCGTCAGCCCACCCACAATAACAATAGGTTCTTCCAGTGTCTGTGTTGAACAGCGTGTGAATCAGCAGGTGAATCGCTCTCTTAGAAGCCAGCAGCCTCTCTGCCTCTGATTCTGCCTGTGCTGCTCTGGGGGGCAGTGGCCTCTAATTAGCAGCTGTGCTGCAGGATAGAAGTTTTCTTTAACAAGGTGAAGCGACTGAGTGGGACCAGCACAGACGAGGCGGAATATCAACACAGCCTCTGAACCCTCCAAAGTCTGGAAAGAGGGGAAAAAAATGTTTTACATGCTGCTGGAAAAGGCAGCCTGCTGTTGCAAAGCTGTGAGACGGTTCTTTTAGGCCGGAATATAAATCTATCCATGGTTGGGAATCTACAAATTAAACATGGAGTCAGACGCTTGAAAAGTTAAAAAATGTAAATCTGACAAGGGCAAGAAGAAAAAACTGTGGAGTTGAGTTGATTTGAGAAGATCTACAGCGGTGACTTCCTGCTCTGTTTGTGACCTTTATCCTTTGGCTCTTCTCTAATAAGACCAGCGTGTTCTGAGCAGCGAGCACAGAGTGCTGTTCAGCTCCAAACATTAAGTCTTTCTTTTCAAGGTTACATCTCACTTGATCATTTCAGGCTCATTTGAAAATGACAGGGAAGTCGGTGGAGAGGAGATGGAGGAGGGATTGAGCCTAAACCCTGGAAAGAGAATAACTTTATGACTACTTTACAAAAGTAGGCAGTAAAAATCCAGCTGACTTTGGTTGAATAAAAAAGGCTCACTTGGAGTTTTTCTTTTTTTTTTCCACAAACTTTCAACAGCACAAATGATTTTTCTTAGACCTGTTTTCATTGCAGTTGCAGTGTGTGCACAGAGGGGGGAGTTGAGGGGGGTCTTTGAAGAAGGAGATTAAAACCATGTGATCAATTTAATTAGATCATTAGTCTAGAATTAGGATCTGTGCTTGTAACTCTCATTAAGAAAAATACCAAGTGGCTGCCAAGAAAGATTACATTCAGCTATTTCCATTCCGTCTCACTCCGCTCCTCCATCACGCCGTTTGTCTGCTATTGTCCTTGCTTCTCAGAAACGCTTTTATTGCATCAGGGTAAAGAGAAGGTGGGTCAAACTGCGTCTGTGCTCTGTCTTTCAGGCTCTTTGGTACGACGGGGAACTGTGCAGCCTGCAGCAAACTGATCCCAGCCTTTGAAATGGTGATGAGAGCCAGAGATAATGTTTACCATTTGGACTGTTTTGCCTGTCAGCTTTGTAACCAGAGGTAAGACTTAAGAAGCATAAGTCCACAGAAAGAAAAAATAAAAATGAGCGTCTCTCTTCTGATGAAAAAAAAAATAATACAAACGTTCAGGAGAACTGCTTAGAGGTTGAACAGGAGGAGTTGTTTTCTACAGAAGCCCAGAGGTGACGTGAATGAACAATTGGCTGAGATCTTGCAAAATAAGTGAGATCACACAAATATTTCCAGACATTCTCAAACATTCCTGTAAGATCTTGAGTTCATCTGAATCTAGTTCACGCTGTTTCCACATACAAAACCTAAGTTACTTTTTTTTTTTACCAAATTGAATTGTGTACATTTGAATAAAATATGACTTCTTCATAATGGCCCTAAAAGTAAGAATTGTTGAAGAAAACCACTGTTAATAAAAAAGACAAACATGAACAAATAAAGGTTCTTAATGTGCACGTTGGTTATAAATCCAGACCAAAGTCAATGTTGTGCATCAGTCATAGGAGTTGTACATTTAGCTAAAACACATGACACATGATGACCCACAGAAACAACAGTCTGCTCCACTGTTGTAGCCTCTTTGCACTGGCTCTTGTGTTTTTAAGCACAACACTAACACATTGTTCTAATTACACTGTCAATGTGTTTTTAACAACCGCAGCTAAAGTACAAACAGAGCTTACATTTATTGGACTCAAGGAGAAAAAAACAAAGTAAATACTATCATTATATGTAATTTATTATTATCTGTTTGAAACTAATTGAAACACAATTTACTTTTTTAAACTTAAAAACCTACGTTTCACTTCAACACTGTTAGGGTTGAAGAAAGTGGCGAATGAATGTTGTCGTTTGGAGTGTAGACATGATGAAGCATGTGTATCTGTAGAAATTAATTCTGAAATTTTAATTTAAATGACAAAATAAGATTTACCCAAATATGACAACAATGCATCTTTGATCTCTAAATGAAGGATAAAAAAGCAAAATCTCCCATCATTAAAAATCATCTGAGATCAGAGCCTTACATGAAACTAATCAGTGATGAACTAAGAAATAAACCTGTTGTATGAGGACCCTAGAATATCACATGGCCAATTTTCTTTTCTTTTTAATGCAATGGCAGTAATGGCAGCTCACTGCCAGCAGGAGGTCCTTCTCATGCTTGTCGTAGGTGCCGTGGCCTTTGTTCCCCCACACACCACAGGCCCATTAACCTTCGGCAGACCAGGTTCAGTTACCATAGTGAGCACCTGCTGAAAGGAAATCATGAGCACAGTCTGCTGACAGTCATGAAGCCAGACCTCCTGAGGCGACGTTCTGCCGTGGGGTGACTGTTTTACCCTGAGCCACACTGAACTATTGTTGCCTACACCCGTGTCTCCGACTGTCACGCCAACTAACAGCAGTATCTTAAATATCACCAGGGCGCAGGGTCAGGATTTATGTCTTTGAGACATTTGTAATTTGCACTGATATTCAATTCACCGGCGCTGCGTCTGTTGCAAACTAACCACAAAACACTACAATGTAAAACACATTATTAAAAAGACAATATTCTTCTTTTTTTACAAAAACAATTTTAAATTACAACCAAAGGGACTTCACTAATATTTTTTAAAAATTATTAAATTTTATACGTAGCAATCCAAAAGGTCATATCTTGACTGTGAAAATTATTAATTTATGATATTGATATTATGTAATTTTTTAAAGTGTATATCATATAAATATTTGTACGCACTAATTGAAGTACCAAAATACAAATGCACAACTGAAGACCTCCTTAAGACTTGGATCTTGTGGATTCTACTATTACAGTAATGTTTATTAGATTAAACATTCTGAAGTAAATGTCTACAGTTGTCGAACTACTTTACTTTATACGTCAAACATTCTGAAACAGAGACATAGATGGTAAATAAAAACACAGAACGCCAAAGGTGTGAAGCCTCAGAAGGGTTAGTGAAAGTGCTCCGCTGCAAACGCTAATGGACGACCATGCTTCTGTTGAACGGTCCAGCTGTCAATCACACATTGACGCACCCTAACTCCTCCTGATGAAGTGTGTTGTATTCTCTAAATTGAATCAGAATTTATTAAAATGAAATATTACATACTGTACATGTAAATGGTCCATTCAAAATGACCACTGATTGAGTTACTTTAGGAAATGTCCAGAACTTTGTCTGTGGCCAGAAAAAAACTTTAATATTTAATTTTTGTTTTCTTCTGTCTTTTCTGTGCCATCAGGTTTTGCGTGGGAGACAAGTTTTTCCTGAAAAACAACATGATTTTGTGTCAAATGGACTATGAGGAGGGCCAGCTGAACGGAAGCTTCGAGACACAGGTTCAATAGTTCGGACCTGCCGGCAGCAACAATCAGTTTCACACTTTTCACACAGGATGGATGTTCTGCTGCACTTGGAATAAAAGACAAGCGTCGGTCTGCTTGCCTGCAATACTTTTTAAGACCCCTTTATCAGTCCCTAAGGACTTGGTTGTAAATATTTAACTTTTTGCCCCTCCCGAGCCCCAACACTGAGCAGTTACAAACGTGATGTACAGTTGTGCCTGCTTAGCTGAGCACTGTATTGCTTGTATGTTTTTTGTGAAATTTATTTGAGGATTGCTTTTGTTCTCCTTTTAGAAATGCTTCATTGGAGGGTATGTACAGTCTGTTTTCTCTGTATATATAAACGGGAACATTTATTTTATGAAATGTAATGCAATTTTATTACTAGTGTGAATTAAAAGATTCTTAAATGTTCACAGTGAGTTTTTTCTGGCACTAAAACCAAAGTTGTTGGAGACGGTCAGCCTGCGCGTTGATGTGTAATCATTTCTCCAATAACTGCACTGGACAAGAAAAAGGCCTTGAAGGAGGAAAGGAAAAAAAAATTCTATTTGAATTCCATCTTTAAAACATGATGCAACAAAACTGGTTTTATGAATACATTTTGCTGTTGAAAACTGACTAAAAAAATATTTTATTTGGAATAAAAGAATTCTTCTCCAAACTGTGTGGTTGTGACTGTGCGGTTGTCATGAAAGGGACTGAGACGGGCTGAGCTGCCCTTTATGATTCATGCTTCACTAAGTGCTATCTAATTATGAGAGAGTGAGAAGGTGAACCCTGAAATGAAATACAAGTGAAAAGAAATTAGAGGCAAAATAAATGCTTATTGAGTTTGAGCTCATTCAGGAGCAGAGATGCAGAGCTGGATTGAAACAGGCTTTATTTTCCCAGAAATTACTTTTTACTCCACAGTAAGTGAGGGACTGTCTTTGTATGGGATGAGGTCAGACAGTATCTGGTACAAACAAAGGCAGTATATTAGGGTTGAGGGTTTTTTTTTGTTTGTTTTTTTATCTACGTCAACTTAAGATTTTGAAACAACTCTAGTCACCGACCTGGAGAAAACTTTGACAGGGTTGAAAAGCAAAAGTACAAAATGCCCTTTTACTCTTCAGGTGGAAAGACGCAAAAGGTACAACTTTGTGTTAAGAAATATTGAAAAATATGAAAGTTGGAGGACCATTAGTCTAAAGTCTAAGACAATAATTAGGACTGAAGTTGACAGTAATTATGATTATTGACACATAACCACTTGTGCAGTGACCTTTAGTTTTTATTTCAAATGCAACTCTTCTTAAAAACTATGATCTCCACATAAACAAATCTCTCTCTTATGTCCATTTAGGTCGATTGTCTTCCAAAGCTTCCCATGTCTTGACACGGTTCAACATTACTATAATGCCAATAACGAGAGAACAAAGAATGTCAGAGAGTGTTTCGTTCACTCCAGATTTCAAACAGACAGAGCTCATAAAAACAAAGCGCTCTTAGATCATGTCATCCCTTTTTATTTGAGTCGAAGTTCATGGTGAGATCTCATACATCAGTCCAGAGCGGGCCTTGTAATGTCTTACACATCGCTCTCTGCAAACATGACATCACATGTTAGCAGACTTCATACGTGACACGTCCGACCCTTAAACCAAACAGACTCACAGATGGTGTTTTTACGTCACCGGGCTTTGATTTAGTGCGATGTTATAATTGGTCTTGGAAAACTGTGTGCTGCCCTTTCACCAGTGCACAGTGATGGATGGAACGCACAGATAAAAGCACAGCTGAAACAAGGGCCGCAAAGAACACACACACACACACACACGTGCGGCCGTTGATAATATCCGATTTATGACTCTGGACACTGGTTAGCAGACGTTGGTCGGTAGATTTCACCAGTTTTATTATCATTCTTCACTAAACCTGTCACTTTGGTAAATATTTAATACTTTTTGGGGGATGAAAACCAACTTCAGATTTTAGGCCAGGTGTGACAGTCTGGGCCCACTCTCCCACCAGCAGGACTCAGAGCGGCAATATAATTTGCTAACACATAAATCAAGTGCGCAGAGAGCATTAATTAGAAATTCATTAAATATTCAGACTCACTGGCAGGTGTGCAAATAAAGGATTAGCTAGACATCAATTACACCACATAAGAGAACATTTTAATTGCAGTTCCTGGATTGATTTACAGAGGGAAACAATCAGGCTGCATGCAATATGGCTGATTGCTCATTTTCTGGAAAAATAATGAGGAAAACCCCTCTCCAGGTAACATTGTCCCCAGCTGCACACACACACACACACACACACACACACGAAGAGAGAGGGGAGGAGGGGGGGTTAGCACACCCCCAAAGCACATTTTTAATACCAATCATATAATAAAACACATGGACATGAAACAGACATGACTCACACACAGATACATGCTCAGCCTCACTTACTACATACGCACTCACACACGCACACGCACTTGCTGCTGCTTGGCGTCTCCATCTGCTTCAGTGAGTGAGGAAGTTCTTAAGCACCAAATGCTGTGCTGTTATGACTCAAGTTTGTGAATTCTCCCACCTCCTCTGTGGTTCTGATTACTGCATTATGGCATCTGCTTAATTAGCTTGGCTTGTGTCATGAGTTGCACACAGGGGGGTGTTAAAAAGTGCCCTTCCCTATTGCTCATTATCTGCCTCGATTCATGTGATGGATAATCTCTCCTGACAGACATTTATCCTGACATAGGGACAGCTGTCAGCAGAGCGTGGTCATAAAGGCTGAGCCATGAATAAAAACTTCAAGGAGGGCAGCTTTAAGGAAACTCTGCCAAATTTGAGGTAAATCTGTGCGTTTCATTCCGCATCCGTCCGCACTGCAACAGGCGGAATTATAATGAATTTAATTTTTCACGGACAGGAGGTTTTGGAGAGAAGGACTTGACGTTGGGTGATGAATTCAGATTACTACAAGTAGTATTTTAAATAAGATTCTGTAGAGAAAATGTACCAACTTCATTTGCCGTCCCACACTTACACCTGTGAGGCTGCAATTTTAACAGGACAGAGCAAAATTTCACCACGGTGGATGCAGTAAAGAAGAACACACAATGATGATGTTGATAAACAGTCAAATAATGGTTAGAAGATAAAACTACAAACCCCAGAAGTAAATAGATTCTAAGGCCGTCCTGACGAGCCCTACTCCTCTCCAGGATTGTTGCCACTTGAGACCAAGGTATCGGCCAACGACCATATGGTGCAGCAGTGAACTTTACAGAGGTCAGGATGAACTCAAAGGATGCTAATGCTAACAGGAATTCCTAATGCAGTGCATTAAAGCCAACCTTTCACAAAGAACTATGACAACCACTTATCAAACACTTGTGGGCACAGAGTGGAAATGTCTACAGTTTCAATCAAGTGTAGAAATCTGTCAACAACCGACAACCGACAGACAACACCACCTGGGGACCTGCACCCCAGGATATGAAAACCAAAATAAACCAATATGATGTAACCATACAAGGTTCGAGGCAGAGTGGAGTAAATTGAACAAACATAAGTCACGGTTTGACAAAGAGACAACTGGAACTGGCAAGTTCTTACCTGTATGCAACAGAAGAGAGTGTCACCACGATACACCGGCCAGACTGAAAATCAAAGGAAGGAACAAGAAGAAACTTCCTGAAAAAAAAAAAAAAAAAATAGTTAACAAAACCCAACAAACAATTTCATAATTAAACCATGTCTCAAATCAACATACAAACTTGAAGCAGGCAAACAAACAGAAATGTACCTAAGCTAAACAGACTTAATAAACTTGGACCAAAGCAGCCAGTCAAAACCAGGAAATAGGCAAAAGAAAAGGCCGAAACAAACCAAAACAATTCAACACAAGCCAAAAAACAGAAATCAGGCCAAAAGAGAAAACCTGCAAACACAGACAAAAAGACAAATCTATCAAAAACAGAGAAACAGCACAGACGTGAAGAGCACAGCAAAGAACAGCAAACTAGTTACCTTAGAAAATCACCAGGATCCAGCAACAGACCCAACTCAGCCATTTTGAAGGCTTTTATACTACACCTGGGCAGGGGGCGGGGCTAGAGGAGGGGCTAACGTTTACAACCTTCACTGAGCTTCACTACACATACTTAACTTATCGACTACGGCTAATCAAACACACCTTAAACAGACTTAATAAAAGCACATGTCATGATGTTTCATTTAAAACATTTTTAAAAATGCGAATGGTTCTCTTTTATGTCACTTCCTGTGATCGCTGCAGTAAGACTCAGACTTTTTCAGAATAAAACCCAGTGAACTACAGCTGTTAATTATTGAATGACTCAAGGCCATAATAATATGATAAAATGTCCAGCCCTAGAAAAAATGTCAACCTTGAGTGTGACAAATACACCTTGGCCACAGATTTCTGCTGCTGTTGTTTCACAGTAACACAGTGTTACTATTAAAGCAGGTTTTACAACTAAACTGTCTCCAGAACAGTTGCTTGGTTCTCACCCGCCCATTAAATCCCATCACAGATGTGACATGAGGCTGTATGTGTCACCGGAGTTTCAGTAATGAAGCAAAGACTAATTAACAGTTGGAGCAGAGGAGCAGCTGAACAAAGTCTTACCAACATGTTTTTACTGACTGATGTGCAATTGGTGTCAAACCTGAACGCGTTATTTACGATTTAGATCAGCCACTACTAATATAACCTCCTCTGTCTGAAAGAAAACAAAAAAAAAGAAATGATTTAATCTGGTAATGCTTTAAAAGCTGTGAAAAACAAGATCATTATTAAAATATCCCAATGAAGTGATTCTGACAATGAGAATAATGAATATTTGTGTGTTTAGATGGAGAATCAACCTGCAACCTTTCAGCCTGGGAGATGATGCCGTAGCCTTCCAACGCGGTGAATCCAGTCACCGTATATATATGAAAATAAGTGCAAAGATGACAGCTGTGCTGTAGCAATTCACTTTAGAAAGAAACCGAATTTCACACTCTATCAAAAACACCCAACACATGTTCCATTGAAGCCTAATAGGGCTGCTTGTGCTCATGTGCAGTAGACTGGTGAGAGCAATTAGTCGCATGTGGCTTTGATTAGCACTGTTTCCACAACAGGGCTGGAAGGAATACGGTATAGAAAACAAAACACTAAATGAGTGCTGAGCCTTCTTTTGACAGAATGCAATAAAAAGGGGAGAAAGTATTTAACTTCATGCTAATAACAGGTAAATGCGAACATGGTAACTGTAACCTGGAGCCCGTGGCTGTGATTATGCATATTCTCCAAACGGCCTGTGCCAAGCAATGCATATAAAAGTGAAATAAATGGCTACAGATGCATGGACTTGCCCTGAAAGAGGTTTGCTTACTCTGTGATCTCATTCTTAAATGAAACCAATTTGCCTAGAAATTGGTTCGAAGGCCTGTTGCTGAACTCTGTACATCAGCCCCAACACACACACACACACACACGCAGCTCCACAGCAGTCACACTGCTTCCACCCCTTCCCTCGCTGCAAATCATGTTTGACTTTGAAGTGCTAATTTTGGAAGTTTAGTCAGTTTTATTTGCTGCTTTGAAATGTATCCCCTAAGCCGCTGCAGCCGCAATGAAATATACAGACCTTTACAATAAGGGATAAGTGACCAAAATGAGAAGCGCCTGGTTTTCTCCCTGAACATTA